ACACCAAGGGCTTCATGTTCTCAGCACTTTCCAGGGGCACTGTATCTTCATACAATCACTGTTGAGTTCATGCTGCAACATTTAATAGTAAGAACTCCACAAATATTCAGACCACAGCCAAAGCTTAGAAGAATATGCATGGTATTTATGATTTATTATACTGATAATAAAATTATTACCTCAATTTATATAATTATATTAACATGTTTTTATCTCAATATATTCTTTTAAACATTTGTGTGTGTGTGTGCGTGTGCACTTGGGCATGTGAAGGGCAGAAGTCCACACTGGATGCATTTCTCAGTCACTTGCCACCTTAGTCTTTGAGACAGGGTCTCTCAGTGGCCCAGCACCTATGCCCAGTGCTGAAGTCAAGAGAGGATGCATACTGCTGAGTCTCTAACTATCACCATATACCTAAAATAATCTTTTTGTTGTTGTTGTTTTTCTCTTTGTAACAGCCCTACCTGTTCTGGAACTATCTCTGTAGACCAGGCTGGCCTCAAACTCACAGATCCGCCTGCCTCTGCCTCCTGAGTACTGGGGTTAGAGGCGTGTACCAGTACTTTGGCTGTATCTAAAATGATCTTACAGTTGACTGCCTACAAGCTTGTTTGTCTCTGTGATGTGGAGGATTGTGTGCTCCAGGCTCTCAGGGCCTAATACTGCTTTTACACAGAATGTATCAATGAATCAATGATGCCCCTTTGTTACTCATCACAATAATCATGCCTGTTCACGAGGCCTCCGTCAGCCCAAATCTCAGCCATGCAGTTTGCTACTCCACGGCCATCCAGCCTTGCTGACTTAGGCCATCTAGACAGTGCTCAGAAAAAGTGGCCAGTTGATGCTTCTTGCTTTGGATTCTTAAGGTATGTTTAAAAATATTTTTTCTGGTGAGTTCGAGGCTGGCCTGGTCTACAAGAGCTAGTTCCAGGACAGGAACCAAAAAGCTACAGAGAAACCCTGTCTCGAAAATCCAATATATATATATATATATATATATTCTGATCTAGACATGGTGGCTCAGCTCTTGTGAGGATCAAGAGTTCAAGGTCGTCCTCAGCTATGTAGTGATTTAGGAGCAAGCCTTGGCTCCATCTGCCACCCTATACATGCTATTGTTATTTCTGATTTCCATGTTGTGATTTGAGTTGGCACATGGATTTGTTATTAAATAACACTGAATATGAAGGGGAGAAGATGTCCTCCTTCAACTTGTCTCTCTTAGAAATACTTTCAAGATACAAGAATATTTCAAATATATGTAAACATACCACAAACAATATAATGAATGTCCATAACTTGCAATCTATATTTAACAATTCCAAACATTTAACAATATTTGTTTCAACTTTTACAAGCAAAGCAAACCCCATAGCTGTCATCATGCCTCCTTGCCTTTCACCTTTTCCTCTTCTTCCTCCTCACTGACCAGTTGGCGTGCACCCTTCCTGCCTGTGCCTGTGTTACCACATACTTACTCCCTAGGGAAACAGAAGACAGGTGTGTTTCCTGGCCCCCAACAGAGGCCTGAACGGTCCCCACTCTCCCAGTCCTAGATCCTGTCAGGAATAAAATGCCACCTTGGCCAAATCCTGAATGCCCATGCTACTTGCTATTCTCTCTTGCCTGTGAGTTATCATCGTGTGTCTAAAATAATCTTGGTTGCTGGCCTCTTGCTCCATGCTTCTTCTTGTCTGCCTTTGTGAGGCTGGGCTTTCATATCCCCTGGGGGTTTTCTGGAAGAAACTCAGAGTCTGGAGAAACCTATTGTCACACTGACTGTAGTGGTCGAGATTTCATTTCCATTATATTTATTTGAATGATTTCCTCTCCATAAGAGTGGGTATGTCTAGTGTTGTGGAGTATTCACCAAAGAAGACTGCTTAGGCGTGGGTGTAAGCCAATAGAAAGTCATTATTAGCCAGCCAGCAACTCTACTGGGTGTTCAGGAGTGCAACCCTAGCCTTTCTCAGGGTGAGCTTTTAAGGACAAAAACCATGTCCTGGGTTGACAAACTTTAGTTAGCAAGAACAGTTAGCCAGAAACAGAGCTACAAAAGCCCCAAAGCAAGCACATTTAGAGACTATCCCAGAACTATGGACTTTGATGGATTAGGCCTTTGTTGTAGTTTTGGCAGGTGGTGTGGTCTACATGCTAAGTTTTGCAGCCTGAATGGTACTTCAACATGGAGTCAGTTATGCCGAGGTCTGGAACCTACTAAGGTCTGGGGCCCTATTAGATCTAGACATCTTTTTATAGTAGTGTCTTATGTTTTCTTTTAAATTAGACAAAAACAAAAGAGTTGTTGATAAGAGAGCAGATAGTATCCAGAGAGAAAGAAATCAGGGCGCTGTGCTGAACAGTCGATATCTGATACACCTGGCCTAAAGAGGAGAGTTTGATGCTCCTAAACAGGACGTGTGTGCAGAGCTCCCCCTGGTCCTACCTTGGCTCTGCCCTGCTCCCAGGAGGTACCACCCTTCACCTGCAGCTGCTTCCCTTACTCTCTAGCGTACATTTCTTTGAAGCTGTTTTCTGGAGCCATCACTCCCTCCTGAGCCTGGCTATCAGGCGTCCTCTCTTGCTCAGAGGTGGGGCTTCCTCTGTAGCAATCACAGTAGTGTGTGCTGTTCTGAGCCAATTCTAGACCCCAAAGTAGAATTTTGTGCCAGTTATTAGGGTCAGGGGAGAAGACCATTTCGTGATGTTTCACTTAACTCTACACTTTTCAGGGAAAAGGTGTTATCTCCTATTTGCAAGCTTGAAGTTTAAAAAAACCATCCTGCTTACAAACCTCAATACCTAATCTAGAATTATTTTCTTTTACCTGGAGACATGCTAACCTGCTGCCTAAATGAAGGGTGAGAATAAAAAAGATGACACACGAGGGGCAGTAGTGCTGGGGAAAGGTGGCTCTGGTGAATTTCCTTCACAGTGATTTAAGGCTCAGCTGAATGACTTCTTAGGAATTTCAAATAGAGACTTTTAAATATCTTTTATTGGGCTGGAGAGATGGCTCAGAGGTTAAGAGCACTGGCTGCTCTTCCAGAGGTCCTGAGTTCAATTCCCAGCAACCACATGGTGGCTCACAACCATCTGTACTGAGATCTGGCGCTCTCCTCTGGCGTGCGGGCATACATCGAGGCAGAATGTTGTATACATAATAAATAAATAAATCTTTAAAAAAATATCTTTTATTTTTTTATTTTTATTTATTTATTTTTTTTGTTTTTTGTTTTTCGAGACAGGGTTTCTCTGTGGCTTTGGAACCTGTCCTGGAACTAGCTCTGTAGACCAGGCTGGTCTCGAACTCACAGAGATTCGCCTGCCTCTGCCTCCCAAGTGCTGCGATTAAAGGCGTGCGCCACCATCGCCCGGCTAAATATCTTTTAAAAAATAAAAAATACTCAGCATATAGCCTTTAGCAGCCCAGCTCCCAGACCACTGCTGGCATTTGCATGCTGTGGGAACTGCACTTTAATGTCAGGGACGGTTATACACGGCATGATCCACCGGAGTGAATCCAGGCCCAAACAGTCCAGCCAACACTAACAGCATTAACATGGGTTTGTTCCTTCATCCACCTGATGTATTATGAAGCTCATATTTAGTTTACAGGTCATGATTTAAGAAGTAGCAGCGGCCCAGGCATTGGTATACATTTGCAATCTGAGTACTTGGATGTTTGCAGGGGGTGAGTTCAAAACCGTCCTCAGCTCCACAGTGAGTTAGCCGTCACCCTGAAGTCAATGAGGTCCTGTCTCATAACCAAACCAAGCCAAGCAACCAATAAAATAAAGAAAAGGAACCTCTTTACCCCACCCCAAAGAAAACAAAACAAAAAGCAAAGTAAAAACCAAAACCCGCAGTGCACTTGGTCTCTCGTCTCAAATGTGGAGGAGAACACTCTCAGAGCTGTTGATGGACTGAAGGGAATGGTTAGAGTTCAGAATTAATGTTTTCTTTAAACGTTATTTTGCGTGGCCAAACCAGGAGAAAGGTCCACGCGGGGGTCGGGGAAGTGACTTCACTCTTTTGGTAGCAGAAAGTCCTGTTACCACTGCAAACACTCAGCTTTTGAGTGAAAAAGCCGGCGAAATCAAATCGCTCGCATGTCAAGTCTTATTTTCCCTGAGCCAAACTTTCTCATCAGTCTGTGTGGGTCACCGGGGAAAAGCCGCAGAGAAGGAAACGCTGCCTTTGGCGGCAGTGTGTCGCCCAATTAATGTCGGTCTGGGAGTCACCTGAAGCCTTCGAGCTACTGCACCCAGGGAGCAAGCCTCGCTTTTCAATTCGGTCATTTCCATGGGGAATTGCGGCACGCGCAGGTCCTGGGTGTGGCGACGTCGAGACGGAGCTCACATCTCCAGGCTTTCCACCTTCTGGTCAATCTACACGGCTGAGATACTACGGATAATCCGGGCCTGCCTTCCTGCAATTCCCGGACCGCGAATGACCGCGACCCCGTGACCACTGCCCAGTGCCAAAGCCAGGCTGCGCGCTCCGCGCGTGTGAGCTTCTCCCCAACCCGCTCAGCGCCGGGAGGCGGATCCCCTTCGCTGTGCACAAGTCCTTATATGCACCGGTTGCACCGGCCCGCCTTTTCTCCAGCCCCACAAATAATTAATGGGGGAGGAAGGACGCTGCTGTCTTTTCCCGCTGACTCTCCTCACCAGCCTTTTCACCATTAGAACATCTCAACCAAGTCAAGAAACCCCAAGATGCGATCGAAGGGCCATTTTGGTGCATTGCACAAATTGAACACGTTAAAAAATAGCCTTCGGGTTCCTGCACAGCGAGGTTCAAGATAGTCTCTTCCGATTCAGTACTATTAACCCGCAAAAGCTGGGGCGGAAAGGGTGCGCGCCCCTCCCCCTCCCTGGCTAGTGCGGAGGGACCCGGTCAGGAAGCGCGGCCTCTCCCCAGTCGGAGACCACGCCTCCGCCCCCCCCACTCCTCCCAGGAAGCGGTGATAGACAGTTCTGTGTGGTTCTCCACCCCCACCCCCCCAGCTGAGTGGAGGAGTTGATATGTCTCATTATAACAGCCAATGCAGCCGCCATCCACGCACAAGCAAAGAAGCATGTCCCATTTAAATACACCCACGCAGCCCCAGCGCCCTTAGCCGATCAGGGCGCGCAGCCCACACGCACCGCGGCTCCGGGCTTGGAGGTCCGCGCAGGTCGGGCTCCGGGAACCCGCGGATCGACGCTCACGGAAGATCGGAATCCGACTCTGGTTGGGGGCCCGGGTGGGCGGGGGAGGCTGGGCCCCGGGCCTCTCTGGCGGACAGCCGCATGAGGACGCGAGCGAAATAGACTAGGGTGGACTTGCCAAGGCAGACTCTTCGGGCTGGTTTGGTCCATTTCTCCCGCGAAGAGTCGACATGGCGAGCGACTCCCCAGCTCGCAGCCTGGATGAAATCGATCTCTCCGCCCTGAGGGTGAGCAGAACGTGTTTTTTCCTTTCTTTCTAATGGTCTGAGGCTGGGCGAGGGAACGTTCCCTGGTTTCCTGTTCTGATTCCGGGGCAGCTGATGGGGTCCTAGGCTGAGCCTCTACCCCTACAGCAGAGGCTGGGCTGCCCTTGTGCTGCTTGGCTCTTCCCGAGGCTCCGCAAGGAAGCCGGTGGAGCTTATGTCAGTTTCATCTTCGGTCGGTGTAAGAGAATTGCATGAAAGGCGTGTGTGTGTGTGTGTGTGTGTGTGTGTGTGTGTGTGTGTGTGTGTGCACCCGAGCAACCGTCTCCTGCCAAGGCGCGAGACCCGATTGCTCCTTGCTGCAAAAAAGAATCTCCTCTAGAATAAAGGCACTGGTCCCTCAGGTTTACCAGCTACCTGCAAGATGCCATCGTGAGTCTAGCTGTCCTCACCAGCCGACCCTGCCGCTCCAAGAGGGCAGTAATTGCTGTTCTGGGCTGGTCTGGTAGATGGCAACTGACTCCCTTCCCGGGTTCTGCCTCCGGTGCGGGGGGCTCAGGCTTGGCGCTTCCCTAAACGCCAGGCTACACTCACCTTTAGCTACGGTTTGAACTCAACCCTGCCCATGCCTTTCTAACTCGGTGACTGTGACCTTTCAGTTTTATGGCTGAACTTCAGCAGGTGAAAGGGACGCCTTAGCAGCTTCTCCTTACCACACCGGAACTCCCTGGAGAGACTGTGTGTGCGTGGTGAGTGGTGAGTGTGTGTGTGTGTGTGTTTCCCGGGTCTGTGACCAGTCCTTTGTAGAGCACCTTCCCTTCCCCCAGCTCTGCCGCTCTGCCTCTACCTTCTCCCAAAACACCTCAGACGTCGGTTCCATTGTATTGAATAAGACTTTACTGATCTAGAATCCATTTTGCTGTTGTTTGGAGCTCATACTGCCAGGAATCCCTTTGCAGCCTCGACGCTTCCCCACCCCCACCCCTAATCCCAGCACACTCCTTCGGGGAAGGGAGCCTAGCGCTCTTGCCATTTTAATTAGATACTGCCTGCCAGGAAGGGGGTAAGAAGGGGTGGTGGCGGTGGCGGGGATCTGAGAAAGATTGAACACCAATCTCAGTACTAGTTTCTTCCTCTCCCGAACTAAAAATAAAGAACAAGTGCATCTGCTTGATGCCCGGAGGGTAGCTGAGACTGAAGGGATGGTGTCACGTCACCGACTGCCAGTATGGGTGGAAGGCCAGTGGTCCTCAGGAACACACTGTTGGGCTGATGCTAAATCTCGGGGCCCTTTACCTGTGTTTCCTGCCCTTACCTCTTTCTCCACAGACGTTTTAAAAAGCCAGTTACCTGTCGATCGAAGTGATACTTTTCTTCGGGCTCTGTGAGCCTCTTTGCCGCCCGCCCACACCTTGACTCCTTGGCCCTTTCCTTATCTTTTGGTCCAGGGTGGCGAGGATTCAGAGAGGCAGTGCTCAGGTTGAGTACTAACTGCCCTTTGAAACGGGCTGCGGCGATAGTGGAGCGGCAAAGGCTCATTCATGCCTGAGTACAGTATGCCGTCTGTTCCTCTAATGCCCAAAGGCCACATCGGGAACCAGTGGGCAGCTGAGTGTGGGGGCTGGGAACAGAGAGGGAGCTTAGGACAAGTGCATGTATAACTCCCTTTTACCCACTGCCTGCTCTTCTGCTCTGCTTGGAGCTGGGAGTTGCTGAGGGTGAGTTGACCAGGTGAACCAGTGGCCCCAGACTTGAGGAAAGAGGAGTGGCTCAGAGGTAGCGACCTGAACAATGAGCCAGGCTTGTGATTTAGCTGAGGCAGAATCTTAGCATCATTCTCCCTGACGTGATTTTTTAGTTGGGGAGGGGGAGACTGGCTTCTGTGGGCAAGCTTTTCTGAGATGCCAAGTACAGAACCTGTCATCACAGCTACTGGATTCCCACTCAGGGAGACCTGTGCCCTGTAACCTGTATTTGGAACAGACAGCTTTTCATGATTCACTGGGATTTTTGCCACCCAGGAACCTCAATGAGTTCTCTGCCTGCACTGGGGTATGCAAAGAGCTAGGACAACAGCTACTCCCAGGGCCTGGGGAGCTGCTGGCTGGAAGACTTATGCAGATGGGCAGACAATTGTACTCAGCAGGCCTGGGCGCTTCAGGCAGTCTTGTGGTGGGTGAGGTGTGCAGGTAGGTTTCTCTCCCAGGGCTAGTGGGTGGGCCGCACACATCAGAGCGTAGATGGTGGCTGGCTCCCCAGATTTGGAGATTGCTGGTTCCTAAGCTTGCAGTTAAGCCTGAAAGTGAGCACCTCCTGAGGAAAGGCCTGACCCCTGAGATGCAGGCAAGGTCAGTGAATCAGCCCGCCAGTCCCTCTGTGATCCTGTGGCTCTTTAATGTACACAATCAATGCTCTTTGTAAACCCTGGGCTTGGTGGTTAAAAGCAGCTCCTGTCTAGAGAGGCCTTTCTCCTTCTGACTTTGGGGGCTCATTGTTCTCAGCCAGTGATCCCAGACTGGGCCCCGTCTAAAATTCCCCCAAATAGGAACAATGCTTAATTCAAACCAGAGCAGCCAGCATCAATCCCTATCATTTAAATTCTGCAAGGTTTGGGCGGTTGTTGTTGTTGTTTATTTGTTTTGTTTTGTGCATGTGAAATGAAGTGAGGTCTCTCATTAGAAAACATTATCAGAATTCAATTTATTGACTCCTCATCTCAGAGCTCCTGAAGCTCAGCGAGATCTCGGGTGTTGGGTCGGGCGCTGTTTCATAGCCGGAAGCTAGAAGAGATCTGGAGAACATGGGGCCCTTCCCCTCACGTATCCTTTGGGAGACTGAAGCCCAGAGAGGTGAAATCTGTTGTCCAAGGTCACACAGCCAAAGGGGAGATAAAAGTAGCTGAAGGAGAGAACCTATGGTTCCCGACTCCTCCGTCTTCCGAGGTGTATTATCCATACTTGAAAAGGAAATCAATAAAATGTTTTCTGCTTGGGGCAGGGGGCAAGAGAAGTCATTTGATCAGGGTCAAGGAATATTCTTTTCTTGAAAGTGGAAAACCCGCTCGAAGCAGAGAACTTATCAATGCGAATGACCAGAGCTATTAGGCACCTTTGGAATTTATCTGTCTAGCCTTCTTCCAGTCCCTTCTTTGCAGGCAAATGGCAATCTAAATCACGCAGGACAGATGGCTGTCCTGCATGGACAGCTTCTCTCAGTAGCCCGTCTCCATCTGAACATGTCCCAAGGGGTCCGTCCAGACACACACATTACTCTGTGTGTGAGCTTTCTGGCCTCCATGGCTGCTTTGTGCAGTGGCTGTAGATGCGGATATTACATATAGTATTATAGACATAAACTCTACCTATGTGGTGTATGAAAATGTGTATACACACACAAGGACTACTGCAAACAGTCACCTTATTCAGATCTGGGCTTGAGTCAAGCCTGCTTTAGACATCCCTGTATTAGAAGATGAAATTATCCCCCATGATGCTCTCTTGCCTATGAGGGGAGCTCAACCCTGAAAGCTTTTTGGAGATTACTATGTTTCTGAACTGGAGCACACGGACTCTCTTCAGCTTGGCCCACGGTGTCAGCTTTTCAAGATCAGGGCGCTGACCCCATACTTTCAGCTTGGGGCAGGACTCAGGCATACTTCTCTACTTGAACAAAATTAGACAAAATTAAGCCCACCTTTCTCCACCCCTCCATGACTTTTTGGCCTAGCTACTCTCCTCCTTCTCTTCTCCTCCCCATATGTGTGTGCAGTGTAAGCGTATGTAAGCTGATATATATGTGAACAGGTGTCATGCATGTGTGTGTGTGTGCATGTGATCGGAAAGGCCGGAGGTTGAGGTCAGGTGACATCCTCTATTTTTCTGTACCTTCTTTATTTTAATTAAATTTAATTTTTTTTATATTCATGTATGCCCATGCACAATGTGCCTTCTGGGACCTCACAGAGGCCCAGAGTGGGTGTCTGATCCCCTGGAACTGGACTTACAGATGAGTGAGAGTTGCCATATGAAAACTGAACCCAGGTCCTCTGAAAATGCAGTTCCCCAGGCTCCCTCTGCTCTCACTAGACCTGGAACCCACCGATGGAGCAATGCTAGCTTGTCACGAAGTCCCAGGAATCTTCCTGTTTCCACTCTACCCGCATTTCCATCACTGCCGCAGACAGCTTTTCAGTGTGCAGCTGCTGGGGATCCAAACTCAGGTCCTTATGCTTGTATGCGAAGCACCTGAACAACTGAGTGGTCTCAGCCATTCTCTCTCCATCAACACCCAGACTGAAAAATTAATCTCCTTCGGAAAGCTTGCATGCATGTCTTGACTGCAGTCTTCATGCCTGTGTTACAAGGCGTGTGAGGTTTACTTCTTGCCTCCTCATAAGGGGTTTGTCAAGGGCCATAGAGTCATTTGGATTTAGATGCCTCATTAATTAAAGAAATGATCGGATGGGTGAATGAATGGATGAGTATATGCGTGAATGAATGCGTGAGTGAGTGAGGGGGAATGGCCACAAGCTTCTGGATTCTCTGTGCATAGCCCATAAGTTCTGTGATTTGGGTTGTGCCACTTGGGTGTCACAGGACAAAGATGGAATATCAACCATTTGTCTTCATTACCCTGGATTCTAAAATCAAATACTTTAGGGCAGAGCATTTAAGTCACAAAGAGACATGCAAACATGTCATTAGATAGAATTTTATGGGTAACTCAAGCTCACCAACATTTGATACCAGTGAATGCACCTACTAGAAAATGCAGAAGGATGTTTTTTGTTTGTTTTTGGTTTTTGAGACATGTTGTTAAGAAACAGCCAACAATAGTGTAGAATTCATTTTGTAGCCTAAACTGGCCTTAACTGCAAACACTTCTGCCTTAGCCTCCAGAGTGCTGGGATTACGGGTGTGTGCCACTATGTTTGGTTTAGAAGGCACATCTTTTGACTGTATGTGAGTGCACATGTGTCCATGCCTGTAGGGGCCAGAGGTTGCTATCAGGTTTCATCCTCAGTG